TCATACATTCAAGCTATTCATATATTATAGTGGTTTGTAGGGTTGTTTCTCTGTCCAAGAAAGGTTGTTTAAAAGTCCCATTCATTATGTTTTGATCCTTTTCTTCAGTTTTATTACGTGTGGTTTTGTTATGGCAGCAATGGCATAATACGAAAAAAAATAAAGCCTAGAGATTGAAAAATAATCAAGTAAATAATTGTACAAGTAAATAATTATACAACAGTCACGATAATTAAAAAAATTACTTTCCTCTGCAAGAATATGCTGTGGAAACTCATTTTTCTAATTTCCCTATATCCTGCTCAGTTGGGTTATGAAATATTTTATTGTTATTTAGTATGTATTTTGTTTTTATTTTCTTGATCCCCGAGTGTTTTATTATATATGATATGAGTCCATGTTGTCTCTAGAATAAAAACTTCTATTAAGTGTAAAAAAATGAACTGTAGCTTCAATTTTTTGTGCCAGTATTTGATTGCTTGATTTTATTAAGGTTCTTAATATTGAGCGTCTTCGTTGCCTTCATTTCCTTAACATATTTTTTTTAAAGTTCAGAAATTATTATGCCTTCATTTCAAAGTGTCTTTAAATATCAAATGTTGCTTTTACGATGTGACGAGGTAAAAGTTTTGTCTTCTCTACCCGGTCTACTTCTGTGTCCGGCATCCTACAAGGTTCCGTGTTGTTGTACCCTCGCGTTTTAAATTTCCATATTGGTAAAAATTGTCCTTTTACCACTTCTTGCTTGCTGATGATCATCAAACTTTTCTGGAAGATACAACGAAACAATTACGGACTTGTATTTTGGAATAGCGTAAATCGTATGGGTCCATTAACAAAAATTAAAGCAGTAATTATTAGTAATTCTAGATTAGTTGCTATGGAAGTGTTTTCTCACCAATCAGTATTTTTTATCATGGCATTCGCATCGCTTCTAGTGATCTATTAAGGAATCTAAGAGTCAGTCGTTCAAGTGGCATCCGAATTCGCTTTCGGTCCCGCGAAGTATTCCTATACTCACCTCCTCTCTGCTTTGCTGCATTTACTTAACGGACCGCTGCTAATGCGTTTCCCCATCACGTCAACGTTATCTTCGTTCTATTGACCGTCTTTCTTTTTGTACTTGAGTAAGTACGTAATGATTTCTTAAATTTACGCGAACACTACACATTGAATAAAACTATTATTTACGGATTTTATCGCGTTTAATTACTTTAATTTATTTTTATTATTATCCCGACGTTTCGGGTGCTTTACAGCGCCCATGGTCACGGGGGGGGACTGAGATGTTTGACGTCCCAATGTCATAGTTAGTCCGGCTACCTTCAGTTTTTTAATATTAATTTTTGGTCCGATTTACGCAAAACGAGCTTATAGTATCATGAAGTCTTGCAATGGTATGCTTGGGTTTGGGTTTAATTTTGTTGATTATAGGATCCCAAGCAGATGGTAGCACCCAACCATCTTCTCTATTGAAATTTGGATGTTTTTTAATTTCAATAGCCTCGCGTATCATCCTTGGTAGGAATCGGTGTTCTTTTGCGAGAATTTGTGGTTTATCAAATCTAATGTAATGGTGGGGACGATCTTGAACATGTTCGCAGACTGCAGACTTCCCGGAGCGTCGGTGCTTCACATCAGCTATATGTTCCTTCACGCGGGTTTTTATAGATCTCTTTGTTTGACCTATGTTGACGTAAACGAGCTTATAGTATCATGACTTCATGATACTATAAGCTCGTTTTGCGTAAATCGGACCAAAAATTAATATTAAAAAACTGAAGGTAGCCGGACTAACTATGACATTGGGACGTCAAACATCTCAGTCCCCCCCCGTGACCATGGGCGCTGTAAAGCACCCGAAACGTCGGGATAATAATAAAAATAAATTAAAGTAATTAAACGCGATAAAATCCGTAAATAATAGTTTTATTCAATTGAGTAAGTACGTTCATTATTTTTCCTTAGTAAATCATTTTCTTTACATTTCGTTCGTGGAACTCCATACTTTTACATATTCGGCGTGCTTAGTTTTTTTTCTCAAATGTTATTTCTTGGAACTAACATTTTTTTTCATACGGGAAGTTATTCCCTTTCAATTGTAATTCCTAAGAAGCCTTTTTTGCATTATATCCTTATAATTATCGTTAACCTTGTAATGATATCCTCAACCCTGTGTTGATTTTTAATTTTTTATTTAATTGTTTAATTATGTATATTACACCTTGCTACTTCTGTAGACTACAGTTCTTTGCGTAAAAATGTTAAAAATGAAGAAATCACTTCTAGAGCGATAAGACCATTCACCCTACCTTTTTCCTTTATATATTTTTTGTTTTAATGTGTTGTAGTTTACAGCTTTTATATTGATTGATAAGTTTTTAATGCATACTAAATAACTGCTGTCTAAATATTTAACGGGCTTAATATTCAGTATACTGCGCCCAGGTTATGCCTTCAATTCAGTCCACTGCTGTTGTATAATTTTAGAGAAAGGAGATTTGTTTTGGTCTGCCACCTTCGTTTGAGATCCGTCGGTCGTTGGTCGTGGCATTTATCGGCGTGTCCGTTTCATTTGCTATTACGATGGCGACGTTGCCGTTCTTCGCGGGGCTCCGGGCTGGAGAGCGGCCGATCTAGTTCCGAACCTCAGGCGTTCTCTGCTAGCAGTCAGTCGGTCGGTGGCGCAGCTCGGTGCGCGACGTATGTGCGCGAATGTTTCAGCTCGGTGGTTCTGTTCCAAGTGATATGTCGCACAGACGGAAAAGAGAGGTCGCTGTTGGAGAGAGATGTCCGAGTGTAACGAAGACAGCAATATCGCAGTGTCGCAACCTCGCCCACCTGACCGTGTTGACGCCGCGCTCGAAAAAGTTGCGCCGTTGCGCTATTTGGAGGCGCACGAATGTACTTGTACAGAACATGTCGCGACGCTTTTATCGCCAATTCTTGCACTACGCTAGTTTTTTTGAGTTACCTTGAGTTTATTAGGCCGTAAAGAAAAATCAGCTCGTTGAAGAGACTCCTTTAGAGGTATGTATCAATTTAAAAGTATTTTGTCCTATTATTATCACACTATCGTCCAGTAGGTACACATATTACATTCGCGTTGCTGTAACGCGGTATAACTTCATTTTGTATTACTTCTTACATTTAAAGGCACTATTTAACTATTGATATTTGTTTTATATCCATTTTCTACGTCGGTGACGAATGCCGCTGTGCTGCCCCCGTTTTACTCCAATATTAAAAACCAGACTTTACCGCTCTATTCCGTAGGACGATTGTTGCAGAAGCTCAATAGACACCGCAATGATTCATTGTGGAAATAATAATATTTTCTCCAAGACTTGTACCGTGAACGCGCCTAAAGTATTTATATACTTGTATATGTACTTGATTTCTGAACGCGTCGTATCAAAAGGCGGGGATGTCAATTATTGTTGTATGTGAATTGGTCGAAAGGTACTTGAACGGCATTTTGCTATGCCAGTTCGTATTTGTGTACTTAGCTTGTGGGTTATCGATTTGTGTATGTTTTTCGCTATAAATAAGTACGAGTTTGTGTCATCGCCTTAGCGTCAGACCGGTTCCCCATCGAAACCAGTGTGAGTGGGCTCGGCCAAGGGAATCCATATTCGACTTGTATTTAAAATGTTCGATGTACCTATCTAATTTAAAAGGTCCTTTCTAAGCTTATCTTCAATACTTCGGTTACGTAATGTTATTTGTTTGTGGTGTGCTTTACTTGGATGCACGATACGTTTGATTTGTACAATTTCAAACTAACAGCGTGGCCCACGCATCGAGGAGTTGATGACGTCATACAAAGGAAAATCTATATCTCGTTTATGGCAAGTGATGATTTTGTTTCATTTCAATTCTATATAGTTAACTCTGCTTCTTATTACATAACCAGCCATATTATGTCGGTGAATCTTATATTAGCGACTTTAACCACATTTGTGGTTCTACATTATATAAGTAGGTATATACCGATAAGTATAGCTAAAATAAAAGCACCTACGTGCCCTACGTAATTTTACTAAGTTATTTATTACATTATATTTTTCATTAAACGCTCAATAATGACGACACGTGCAATAATGATGTATTGTTTAATAAAACATGCGGTTTTTCTCGAAATCTGCCTGTTTCGTGAGGGGACATGTGGCATAACCAGACCAGTGGCGAACGATATAAACACTATTGGGCTCTATTTTTATCACATTTAGGTATTTGGTAATGTTTTTCTTGTTAACACTGTTAAAGTGTAGCAAGTAAAATATGACCTGTCTTTCGTTTTGCAGACAAGTTACATTATTACAACACGTTTAATATTTTATATGATGCATATTTATGAAATGAAACCTACTGGTAATAGCAGTGTTGCCAAATCCAAAAAAAATATTTTCCCTTCAAGGTTTTGTCAAAACCCCTAAAATCGCAATTACTTGGAAAACCCCTTAAAAAGTAAATGCTTCGTAATGTTCTTTATAAATAAATTATTGATATTTTAGTTCCGAATTATTAAAATCATGGGTTTGGATATTAAATAAACATTACATTTTAGATAATGAATAAAATTTTATAAAAGATCGCCATTTCGTGACAATATGAATCAGACCATCATCACAATTTGTATACTACAATATAATACAAGTAACATAGAAGAAATTGTAATCGTGACAATTAATGCACACAGTGCACACATATAACCTGAAATTTGAGACATTTTCAAACCGCTTAAAGCGGCGCAATCAACGTAACTTCTGAAAATCGGCTTAAGTGGAAACAAATACAAAAGTCTCTAAAAATGTTAAAGCCTCTAATAAAATTCTGTCTCACTTATTTACCCCTAATTTTGAGAACCCTGGGTTAGTAGGATGAAGTGAAGATTGTTGCGGAGCGGAGCAGAGGGTGAGAGTGGAGTGGTGTGGTTTGACTGAAGAGTTGTCGTTTGGTGCGTTCCAGGTGAGGTGATGGGCCCGCAGTGAGCGGCAATGATGAAGCGAACAGGCGTCCGGCTGCCGGCCGACGAGCCCGCGCAGCTGCCGGTCACTCCACACAGCGGCGCGCAGGTGGGCCCCGCACACCACACCTACACACCCATACATAACATAATACATGTATTAAATTAAACTAATTATATGGATTTTACTATCGCGTTTAATTTATACTTTAATTCCGGACGAACATATAGCACTGACGCTCTGGGAAGTGTGCAATTTGTGAATATGTTCAAGATCGTCCTTGCCATTACATCTGATTTGATAGACCACAAATTTTTGTAAAAGAACCCCGGATTCCTACCAAAGATGATTTGCTGGGTTATTCAAATTAAAAATCATCCTAATTTCATTAAAGAAGATACAAAGGTGCTACCCCGTCTGCTTGGGATCATATAATTTATAAAATTAATTCCAAACACAAGCATACCATGCCATGACTTCAAGATACTGTAAGCTCATTCTGTATTGATCATACCAAAAATTAATACTCAAAGGCTGAAGGTAGCCAGACTAACTATGATATCGGGAGGTCAAACACTTCAGTCCCTTGACTATGCTGTAAAGCACCCGAAATGTCCGGAATTAAAAAGTTTAAATTAAACGCGATAAAGTTAGGGGTAGGCAGATATTACGGACTGCCATTTGGCACAATTCTGACAACTCTCACCTCCTTACATTAATGTACCTACGCATACATGCTAGTTGGTTAAGGGTACTCCTACTTTAAAACTGCCGTCTAGGGCGTCCTTTGCCGACTGCCTCTCATTTCTAGAACATATTTTGCTTTATCAATATTTCCTCATTCATTCTTTCTAGACGACGAAACTCACCTAATAATAATCTCTTATCATACAATTGCTCACCCTGTCATTCAGTTTCAACACTCCTTAACGACTGCATTTATTCTACTCTCATGCTTCTGCTACACTCAACTTTCACTACCATACCAGGGTAGGGACTAACACAGTATTGTAAATTATTACACGTGTAAAGTTCTTCAAAACTGCTATAAATCCGTAGCACGACGCTACTACAGACTGAACTATAAATTTCTAGCGCGCTATTAAATTCGCTATGTTATAGCGAGCAATGTACATAAAAAAGCGTGTAGTCGCGTATTGTTTTGCAGCACGCTTAATTTCGTAATAATAAATAATAATCGTATCGTATAAAGGTAAAACAGGTCCACGACAGGTTGCAGCGCTAACCATGAAACCCAGGTTCGGTTCTGAGATAAACCCGCAACGCCAACATGGCAGTTATAGCAATCGCCCTTATCGAAGATGCATCTGTTTAGCACAGACTAGATGGAAAGAGCAAAGAGCAAATACGGCGCCAATCCCTATTAACGATAACAAATATTTTTTAGAATTTTCACAATATGTTACAGAAACAAACTTTTTTATTCAATATGGTTTATAAATAATATTTATTGAGTCACTTTTTTCATTTACCACTAGTTCGCAAAAAAAAAAACTTCTGTCCTGGGAAGAACCAGCAAAAAACCCAGTGGGACTATTTTTTTTTTAGATAATAGCTTACAATCATGTATGTTATACAATTAGCAACACAAAACAAATTAGAAATAGCTTGGTAGCGATCATCCTTCCCAGGGGTTATTATCATCCATAAATTACTTAATATTATAATAACCCTTTTTATAAAAACTTAGTTTAATAAAGTTTTTGAACTTCATGTATGTCAAATTTTGTATATTACTGACTTGGTGAAGTCTAGTAACTTCTACTACTAGCTTGTGTCTGCTCCTAGTATTTACAGAATGAACATCACTTATTTTTGCAAAACTACTTTTATTTTTAAGTATGTACATTACATTTTCATAAATGTATTGAGAGGCCAGAGTTAATATATTAATTACCTTACATTTTTGTCTAAGCGACTCCTTTGGTTTTAAATGATTCTGTAAAACGAATATGATTTCAGTGTCATTCGCCTGTCCCCATAGCAAAATACCATACGACATAATGCTATGCAAATAGCTAAAGTAAACTAGTCTAGCTGTTACAACACTGGTAAGAGTTCTAATCTTTTTTACAGTAAATGCTGCAGAACTAAGTCTGCTAGCTAGTAATTAAGCTTTCCGAATTAAGTAAGTAAGTAAGTATATATTGAAACAGATAATTCGACTTATGAACTCCTTGTTGCCAGAGCTAGTCCAGAGTAAACTAAAAGTTTCAAAACATTTTTGCCTGGCATAATAAGTCCAAACATGACTCCCTAATTTAAATTCTGTCCAGTCCACCTTAGTGGACCTAGAATGGTCCTTTTTCGCTTACAAAAATGTAAAGCGATCGTAAACAAAATTGCCTACAGTACATTTGGAACAGTACTTAGTCCTACATATACATTGTTAAAGGTGAATTTTATTGTTTAATATATTTTGTACTTGATATTTTCGTAAATACGGTTGTTATAGTTGAGGAAAGATAGCTTTTTAAAATAAAAAAATGTTTAAAAAAACTGTTTTTTATTATTACATGTTGCATACTTTACTATTACATGTTACCCTTGGATATCGTGCATTTTTCAGAATGTTTGCATATATAGTCCGGTCTTTAGCTATTATTCTATAGCTAGGGAATAGGCCACAGCACTGACTTTTTATTTTTTATTTTACTCGATCGAATGTTGAGCGAGTCTCGTAGGTAAGGTAGAATATAATAGACGCGTTCGAGAAACCACCTTTCTCGTAATTCGCACAAAGCTTTTCCGGTGCGCTGCGCTCTCGCTCTATTACCCCTTTTAATTTTCATTACAGTCAAATAAAGCAATAGTATAACTGCAACGTTATTACAATGGACAATGGAAAGAATATTATTGTTAGTGGTTCATTTAAATCAAATTTTTATTAACTTCCCAGTGGGAAGTTATTATAATGGGTCCGATTTTGCAAATTGGAAATTTTAACATATCTCCACGTTTCAAGGTCTTTAGAGTCGAATAGTATGGTTTTTAAGAGGCTGTCCATGTGTGCACATGTAGTATATATGTATGTATGTTCGGATTCAATTTTCGCCTCGTTTATCTCGAGAACACAGAGTGATATTGACATGGAACCAGATTCATAAAGCATAATTATGTAACTTAGACCTCATTAAAATTTGACCAAATTAGGTCAAGTCGTTTTTTTATGCCTAATGAAACATTTTATAAAATATTAAAACATTTGATATTTTTTAATCTTTCCATTGGGAAGTTAGTCATGTGGACTTTTCGGGTAACACCTAGACCGCTTTTTTAACGTTTATACTGACCATTGGTTGAAGTCACTATGTTGAATTGAACACTCTTATAGCCCCACAATAGTAGCTGGAATATGTAACACTATGAATCTGATTACTAAAGAAATACCGCTATTATATATAGTCGATTAGTTTACTGATATTAGCATAGTTTACTAATTTAAGCATAAGGCACACAATATACATACGAAAATTTCGAACTCAGCAAGTCCATTTAAAATCAGGGACCTGTTACACATCTATGGTAGTTCGTTCGAAATTTTGCGGGCAAAACGGGATTCCGTAAGTGTGTGGCCGACGCCGTATGTAGTGGCGGGCCTAAGATATCTTGCTAGAAGATTTTGTATACAACAGTCACAGAATGTGGCATAATGGATTTTCAGGACATTGTCACAACCAAGTGTCACGATCCTTACATACCTCTTTCGCTTCTTTCATGTTCATTAACTTCTTCATACATGTACGTCTAGGTATCCGAGTACTGTTGACTTTCCCCTCTTCGAGTAAATTGCTCACATGGTCTTCGAAAGTTAGTCTCGGTCTACCTCGACACCTTTTAATATTTACTTTCGCGCTATATATTTTCTTCACCATTCGGTCTTTAGTCATTCCGATATCACGATAGAAAATGTACTATGTCTAGACTGTGCAAACTTTTGTCTGGAAAAGTCTCATTTTTGTTTATTTATTTAATGTATGAATAACTTAATACACAATATCAGTAATTATGCAGACCCTATAGATCAGTATAAATTTTTTGTTAAGCAAAAATTGTTTAATGATGGATATTATACATCATTGAAAATAAACCCTAGAAATGTTTAAGTACAGTTGTAAAAAAATATTATATTGTAAATTAATGTAAAAAAATCACGATGTGTTTCTTGCTGGTTCTTCCCAGGACAGATGTTGCCATCTTAATTTTTTTTTAATAAAAATGATTGTTTTATATTCAAAAATGAACAGGAATCTATGAATCCCATTATTTCCATGCGATGCAATTAATACGGAAATGAGAATAGAGCGTAGTGCGGGGGCGCAATTGCCGGTGGCGTGGTGGGTCCTCCCATCGCTTGTTATCGCCTCTGGCTTAGCGCACATCGCTTTGAAGGGACTATCGTAGAACCCTAATGGAAGTGTTACTTTACACATTGATATGTTTGTCTAGGCTGTATCATCGCGAAAATACATTATATTAAAGATGTTAAAAATTAATAAACTAAGAACCGCGAATTAAACGAGGACGGCTATTATTTTACGTGCCTAGATTTTTTAAAATCTTTATTAGGCTGTCCCATTCAGTTCTATTAGCTATCAGTTTTATTAGCCAAAGCATAATGTTATTCTATACATATTATATGGATGGACAGTCTAGTGGTAACTCATGACAAAACAATCACCATGCATAGTGCATACAATATGCTCTTTGTAGCTGTATTTATAGCAAATAAATAAATTTTATTGTTTTATGAAGCTATGCGCTCATCGGTTGTATATATCGCACTGATTACGAAATAGAAATGAAACAAAAACATGAATAAAAAGCTCAATTTTTAGACAATGATTCACAAGTGGGTACATTATTACACTTTTAGACAAATACGTGCATTGTTGTCGTTAAATATTTAATATATAAAAATAAAAATATTAACTTTAATTTAACACAATAGAGAGCATTGTTGAAATAGTTGCAACACCTATATAACATAAACTTATAAATAACATAATATTTGTTTTCGGATGCGATATTAAAATAAACTACTGCCTTTTTAGTGTTGTAATAACCATTATCTACAATACAGCTTT